AACTCCCAGAAGTCCACACCTCTTCAAGTCGCCAAGGTTGAGGAACCCTGGTTTAGAGAGCTGCTCCCAACCCAGGGCCGTCCAGATGTATCAGGACTTGACCAAGAATATCTGAAGGCTGACTTTGACTCTTGCTTCCCTGTTAAGCGGGGCTGATTGGTGTGAACCTTCAGTGATATCACAGGAAGTCAGACAATATTTTGGTGAGGAACCTGCCTTAAGGAATATTACAAGAGCACTGCTGGATCAGATCAAAAGTTACCTAAGCCAGCATCCTCTCTACTTTGGTTCTGCAGGATATATGCATCCCGCCGTTGTGGATTAGCATTGCATAAACCTAGTTTGCTTGGGCATGTTGATTGGTGTCATCAAGACCATGTTGACTCTTAGTGACTCCATAGATAGATTTTCTCCAGGATCGTCTCGTTGAACAAACCTTTTAATTTATTTGTATTGCTAAGAACATGAAGAAAGGGAAAAAAACCCACAGTAGGATGCCAAACCATATATCTCTGTGCCCATGTTTTGTGGTTATTGGTCCTGTTTCGTGTTGAACAAACCATGGTTTAAAAACATTCCTTGGCAGAAAGAGGTGGATGGGTTCACCAACCTAAACCAGATCGTGGTTTTCTTGCTTGTGACTTGGCGTGATGTGTGAACCCAGCCAAATGTGGATTATTCAGTAAAATTAAGAGTAGCTCGGTTGAATTATGGATTTTATTTCTTACTGCAGATGTGCCTGGGGTGCTCGCAAGTAGGAATGGGAGACCTTCCCCTCTCCCACCATTTCTCCCTTGCAAATGGTATTTAGAGGCATGCTGTCCTTAACCCATAGAAAAAACTGAATCTTTGATACCACTTGATAAACCTGTCCTCCATGAGTTTAGCCAGTCCCCTATTAAAGTCACCCAAGTTAGTAGCTGTCACCACAATGCATGGGAATACAATCATCAGATGGATAATCTGTAAAAAGGAGGTGTTTCTTTTATCTGCTGTAAATTTTCCTCCAGACAGCTGCTTTGGATGAGCCCTGGCATGGGAGGGGGTCAAAAAAGTCAAGCTGGTGGCCATGGCCACGTAGTTGAAGCCCTGCCTCTTTTTCATACGTCACACATGCATGGCTTTGATTAACAGTCATGGGCAACATCTTGACTTTTTTGACCTGCCTGTGGATGCCTTTCTCTTGCTATAGTGCACTGTTTCTCAACCTTGTCTACTTTAAGACAGATGGACTTCAACTCCCAGAATTCCCTAGCCAGCCATGAAGTCCACACATCTTAAAGTAGCCAGGTTTGAGAAACACTGCCATAGTGTGTGGAGAGAGGGAGAAAAAATTCTCACCATCCATGTTCTCTCTGCCGTAATGGTTCAGTATCTTTTGATCGTATGTTCCTGCCAAGATTTTATTTTTTATTTTATGTATTTGTTTTTCAAATTTATATATGCTGCCCATCTCACTACACAAGTGACTCTTTTAGCTTTTTCTTGTATGGAAAATGTGCCCTGAATTATTCTGGTTGCCCTCTTTTCAATTTTTGCAGCTCCAGACTGGCCTTTCTCAAATGTAGCACCCCATAGCTAACCGCTTAGTGTATGTGTGAAGTTGTAAAGTAGGGTTCCTCAAACCCCACCACCTTTTCACTTGACGGTTTTACACCCCCCCCACACCCCCCCGCTCCCCCCCCCCCCGGCCCGGGCTGGTAGTGGGACGGGGGGGAGCA